ACCTGGAGCAGTTGGCGAAAGAAGAGTGGTCCACAATTCATATAGGGAGGTGTAAGAAACTCATTGAAGGTTACAGGAAGCGATTGATTTCAGTTATTTTTCCAGAGGGCTGTGCTACCAAATATTAATTGAGGGTGCCAATAATTTTATCCAGTCCATTTTTGGAGGTTTGTGTGGAAAATTGTCAAATTTTGGCTTTTTTTTTTTTCCCTCCACTTTTTTGTGTCATACCAATACAAACAAAAGAAATAAACATGAGAATGCCGAAACATTTGTAATTGCACCAACTTTCTGCGCCAAGTGGTACACTATCTGACAGAAATGCAGAGGTGCCAATATTTTTGGCCATGACTGTATATGTGGCCCTCTGCAGATATCATTTGGGGACACATTTGAGGCTTGATACACCTTGTTAGTTGCCAGGCACTGGTCTAATGTCTCTAGCCAGCTTTTGTCATTGCCGGAACATTCTGTCAGGAAAGGGGCAGCAAATAATAATCCCATTCTGCCATGTCACTTCACAGTGAGTGAAAGCTGAGCAATGTGAATGTCAACTCCATGTAGTACCGTCAGCTCAGCAGCAGCCAATCCGGGCTCGCCAGGGCACAGTCCCGCCCATATCCCATCATCCTCTGCGCAAATCACAGCCCGGACCGTCATCCCGGTGTACACAGACACACTGCTTCCGTCTTCCCAGGCTGATGATGTGCCGGCTGATGACTGGTAAGAACGATGTTTACAGCGGGGTGGGCTGTGTCCCCCATAGGGTGCCGGTGCATCTGTGTGTATTATGGAGTGTTCCGGGCTCAGCCCATACCCAGCCTGTATACTACTATGGAGCGTTACAGCACACAGGAACTTTCCCTGCACACAGTTCTGTACAGTGTATGGGGGGAATCTATTTTACTGGAGCAGACAGAATCTGGAGCAGTTGTGCATGATGACCAATCAGCTTCTAGTTTTCATTTACATAGCCTAAAGAAGAACTCCAGGATTTTGGAAACGTTAATTCCCCATGCAGAAGGGCTACCCTAGCACTGAAAGGGATTACCATTAATTTTGTCTCGAGCGAAAATAAAGAAATACTTACCCGATCCTCAGTCCTGCCTGGCTGCTAGATCAGTCTCTGTAGCCTCTTCTCCCCTGGTCCCCAGCAGTTTAAGGACCCGTGATGTCATCATGTCTAATACAGGTCTATTAGATGTGAGGATGCCATGGGACATACCACAGCCAGAGTGGGGGGGTGGGGTTATTTGTTGCAAGTGTAAATTGTCTGTTGTTATTAGGGGCTGTAGATCATTTCCTTGTGTCTTTTGATGTGTGTTATGTGGCGGTTCCCCTAGTATAAGGCTGGACATACACACTTGGCCTCACCGTGCACATTACAATCTGATCATACCGTCTCTGTGCTATTGTTAGATCTACCAAAACTGTATAACTGCACCAGATAAAAATCAGGTCTGCTGCCCAGCTCGACCACGGAGAGTGGCAGAGCTGCGTAGATCTCAGAACTGGATAGACATAAGTCACATGACAGCTAAAACAGTTCCATAATAGAATTGAATCTGTGATTGGGGTGGTCATTGAAGGTTTGGTTTAAGGGAATAATAAGCTTCTTGTCAAAATGGGATATCTGCTCATGTGTGGCAGACGGAAGACCCTTGCTGCAGAGCCCTGTTTTTGGGATCTATAGCAGGGGGTGGGCAACCTCGGCCCTCCAACTGTGATGAAGCTACAAACCGCCATCTAGGTGTCATGCATTTGGCTGTCCGTGTTTCAAATGCCTCATGGGACTTGTAGTTCCACAACAGCTGGAGTGCCGAGGTTGCCCACCCTGATATTGAAACTTTGTGGACAGTGTACAATTGCCAATGCTGACTTCAGTGATACCAGAGACTCGTTCCTTTGTCTCATTTTGTCTGGATCACTTAAAGAGGAACACCTGTAAAGTGCCAGAACAGACCTATCCCCATGCCGCACCCTGCAGTGTTAGCATACGCAATGGCTTGTCCGCCTAACAGATTTGGGGCTAATTATAGGATTTGGTTGTTCAAGCTTGCAGCAAAATATAAAGCTGTCCGAATATATACAGATGGTGTCTATCCCTGTAAGGTGAAATCTTCTTCCATTATGAGGTGGAGGATTAGGGAAGACACACGGCCTGATGTGATGGTACAGAGCGGAGGTACACGGAGGATCGGGCCATGTACAGCTTTCTTTATGGCTGGTTTATGAGCCCTTCTCACTATTTGAAGTACTTGTTGTACACGGGACTGCACAGCACAGAGGGGGAGGTTTATTTGTGCTCTTTTAAACTACTTTGGCCAAGTTACATCTACTGTAATGTATGACAAATTTCAAGTGACACTAAACTCAGGAATTAAATCTTAAATATGCATTCATGTACCTTTTTAAAGGAGAACTATGGGGGTCAGGGCTTTTCCTCATAGTTCTCCTAAGGGTCACGGGAGAACACAAAGTAGCATTCTCCCGTGACCCAAAGCTCAGTATACCGCGAGCTACAGCTCGCGGCATACTGAGACGCCGGGACGGATCCCGACAATACTGTCTGGATCCACCCAGCTGCGGCATTGACAGCTGGCCCTGCCTATCCAGAGGCAGAGCCAGCTGTGCCCGCCCCCTCCCCCGTCTGTTCCGCCAGCCAGCGCTGGAGGATCGGACAGGGAAGGGGGATCCCTGCAGGGAGCCGTGAGTGACAGTCACAGCTCTCTGCAGGGATAGATCGAGAAGTGAGCGAGCGCTGGTATGTGTTAGCTCACTTCCCGATCTACTGAGCCGACCTGGGACAGTTTCATTGTCACAGGTCGGCTCAGATTGAGGCTGAGTGAAAATCACTCCATAATGCTCCTTTTAACAAGCAACAAAAATGTATCTTATCTGTGTATCACTCGGCTGTAGATCCTCAAATCATCTCTGAATTGGTGCTGACACTGTCCTTCCTTCTGGAGGGGGGCTACTTTTGTTCCCCATGGTCCCTGTATGTGTTGTAAAGTAGCCACCGCTCCAAGCTCGCTCCCGTGATGGACTACAATGTTTAGTTTACTCATTTGTATTGAAGTTATAGTCCATCCAGATGGAAGGACAGTGTCAGCATGAATTCAGAGATGATTTGAGGATCTACAGCTCACTGATGCACAAAAAAGCTACATTTGTGTTAATGGTAAAGGTACGTGAATGCATTTTGAAGATTTAACGCCTGACTTTAGTGTCACTTCAAGCACTGCTATTACTCTGCAGTCAGCATTTACACACTTGGTTATTGCAAATGATGCTTAAAGTTGTCACATAGCTTGCAGACATTACACAGCAAAATCATACCAGACATAGACACTTCCATTCCTATGGTGATGCCTCTTATTAGTTCTACTGCCGTCACCACAGTAGACCTGTAATATTTTTTTTTTTTTTTTTTTGTTTGAAGCGGAGTGCAACCTTGACAATGATGCCAAAAACGACTATCTAATTAACATGAGTTAAATACATAAAGATTTGAAAATCAAACAGAGCAGAGCAAATTTTTATAACAAAAATTCTTTAGCATTCTCGCAGTAAGTATCGGGGACTTGTTGGGTTTCCTTGTGGTGATGAAAGGGCTATTGCATGGAAACAACTTGAGTCTACATTAGGTCTTAGGCTAGGTATATTTGATTGGGTATATTTGATTGTGAGGGGGGGGGGGGGGTGTTGCATGTACGTCTTAGCGGTTGTAGTTGGCTTTTGGTAAGTATTCAATGTTTACAGTGAATATAAGTCTTCTAAAGGAACAAATATCGAAAATGCCTGCTATACATGTCTTCGACCTCTATTGTTCAATCACTGCTGAGGCATGCATGTACCCACAAAATATTCCGACCAAGTAATAAAAAAATGTCAAGCTGAGGTGTATTCTTCTTATATTTTGCCTTCCCTGGTTCCCTCCTTCCTCCTTCATTAACATGCTAATGAAAGTTTTAAATAACACCTTTTCAGTTTTTCTCACATACCATATTATAGACCAGTTTATGCCATCACTAGGTCTCTCTGCTACGATAAGCAAAGCGGGCAGATCATGGCCAACGCCGACAATGAATCTGTCACACATCGGCTCTATAGATCGGGAAGTAATTGAACACATACTGTCGCTCGCTCACTTCTCGATCATCTCCCAGCAGAGAGCGGTGACTAACGGTCTCGGCTCCCCGCAGGGATTCCCCCCCTCCCAGCGCTGACCGGAGGAACAGATGGTGGAGGGGCGGGCACTGTTGGCTCTGCCTCTAGATAGGCAGAGCCCACTGTCATTCACGCAGCTAGGGGGATTCTTGACGGTATTGTCGGGATACGTCCTGGCTTTGGCAGTCGCAGTTTACCGTGAGCTGTAGCTTGCGATATACTGAGCTTTGGATCACGGGAGGATGCTAGTATATGTCCTCCCGTGACCCTTAAGAGAACTATGGGGAAAAACACTTACCCTATAGTTCTTTTAAGTATCAAAATGCCTTGATTGGTGGGTAGCAGTCTGAAACAGTGGGCATTCCTTAGCAGGCTGCATTTGCATTCAAACTGCCTTAGGTAACTCCCACGTGTGATGGTGGGCCTCTGTGTTTAAAAGAACTGAAATCTAATAAGTGAAAGAGATGGGGAGGAAAGACTAGGAAATAAGGAGGGCTCTGTCTGACTTGCTGTAGCTTCTAATGCACAGTATGAGAAGCTCCCTGTGTGCAGTGAAATCAGAGTAAGCAGTCTCAGTCCAGGCGATGATCCTGTACAACAATGCAAGCCTGAAGATAAGGCCAGGAGTTCAGAAATCTGATTTTACTTACAGTGCTCTAAAGAAAACGAGACATTCTTTGGTGGAAGATTAGTTCTACCTCAATGATTGATGAAGACTTTTTTTTTTTCCGTGTGCTTTAAAATGAAATGTATTGGCTTTAATTAAAATACAAATAACCATAGATGAAAAAAAAAAGATCCTCAATTGTATTTTTTTTATTTGCAGATTGAAGAAGCCAAAGCAGTGAAGAAAGCAGTAACGAAGACATCACCATGCACTTCAGTTAATGAAATCCGACACATAATGAACTGATCGTTGTGCCTACAGGCTGTCTTAGTATTTTATATTGCCATCAGATCTCTGAACAATGGAGCTTTCCAGCACACAAAACTGTATTTTAAAGAGACAAGTTTTTTGTTTGATTGTCATATCTCTAGCTGTGCTTGTCTGCATGGATGAGGACTACTATAGTTTACTTGCTGTATCCAGAGCGTCTAGTAGTAGAGAAATTCGACAGGCGTTTAAGAAGCTGGCATTAAAATTGCATCCTGACAAGAATAAGGTAATTGATCCTGCATTCAGTGTGATTTCTGTTGCATTAGCATCAGAAGAATATATTCTTTATTATTTTCCTGTGCTGAGATGACTATTATATTAATAATAGAAATCTTAAAGGAGAAGTGCAGGGAGAGTAGAACATACTCTGTCTGCTGCTTGTAGCCGGTGTGGGAAACTTGTCATGTGTTGGCGTTAAGATCTAAAGTTGACCAATTACATGACCACTGATCGCTCAGCTCTCAGTCTCTTCTCCCCGCAGGGATTCCCCCCCTTCACACAGTGGGGATAACATCTCTCCAGTTGGGAACAAGGTTGATCTATCATCACTAGTAGCAGTGCACCAATATATCGGCCGCTGAAACATATCAGCCAATTATGACCAAAAGTGCAATTTTCTGGCCGATACAGCGGTGCATCCATTCTCCTCTCCGCTCGCTCAGCCTCCTGTGACAGCTGTCGGGAAGGAGAGTGAGTACAAACACTCAGTTAATAGTGATTGCTGAGTGTTTGTAGATAATTGAGGACATGGCATGTTTACTATATACTCAATTATGAATGAGAGTGATCTACATCACCTCCTGTTCATTCACGATTGTGGACATGGTAAACACACTATATCCTCATGTTATGAATGAACAGGAACACTTAGTATAGAGGATTCCTGTTCATTTAAAACGGGCTGCTAAAAAAGAGATTGAGGACTCTGTGTCCTCAATCTCTTTTTCTATTTTAAAAGGGAAATATCAGGGATCTGTTTAGACCCCCAATATTTCCCCGAAGCCCCTAAAAGTAAAGTTAAAAAAAATGAAATATTTAATATAAATAAAATATAAAACAATTTTAACCACTTCAAGACCAGGTGTTTAGACCCCCTTCCTGGCCAGGCCATTTTTCAGTTTTTGAAAAAGTTAAAGTAAAAAATTATTTTTCGGTTTCGGCCTGACATTTTTTTTTTTTCTATTTTGGTTTTGAAATTTACATTTTGGTGCACCTCTAATCACTAGCACACCATACTGAAAGGTCAAGGTACATGTATTCGTCATCTATAAAAGTGGCCCAGTGGGCTTGAAATGTCACTTTTTTTTTTATGGGTAACGGATAAATAGCCTACCGTTTACCTCTCAGGATGGCATGCTGGTGATATATCGACTTTGATGTCTGCTATGACGGCACCATCAGTCATTTCACATCGCACCTGCTGGATATGAGAGGTTTAACAATTCCTTAGTCTGCTGTTAATATTGCCGTCTTGGTGACCGCATGGAACGTGAGTGGAAATTCCCACAATGGGATCACTGACAGTAAGAAAAATCTGGCAAAGGCTCTAACATTTCCCAGCTATGTGTAAAACTAAATAGAAAGTGTTGGCTGGATTCAGGCGTTCTCTAATCTGAAAATGTACAATGTGATTTGTACTGCTTATTATTGGTTCACATTTATTCTGGTAATTTTCCCAAAGTTGCCACTTTAGACTTTGATGCAGAATGTCAGTACTTGTCATGGCAGATAGAGGTTGAGTGCAGTTGTGAACACTGCCCTTGGATGTTCCTGTATTCTGATAATGTCATGTTTAAGGTGCAATTGATCATTCAGTTTAAATTCACTAAATATGTTCCTGGTGTAGGAAAACATAAGGTGTGCACAGTCTTAGTTGGTTTTCTTAAAAAAAAAAAAAAAAACAGCCACAACCTGAGTGGAAATGCTTGTCCCCCATCAGCATGGTGTAGAGAAGGAATTTTGCGCTCTGTGTGGAAGCAGTGTTGTCTCTGCACATGTCTGACACACTCCCTGCTAGAGTCAAAGCTAGAGCTCTCCAATCAGCAAAGCTCATGCTCCCTGTTGATTGTAGAGCTATTGTGACTTTGCAGGTCCTCTACAGAGAGACCACTGCTTCCACATAGAGAGCAGGGGTCCTTCTGTACGACTTGCTGGCAGGGGAGAGGATTTTCTACTCGGGGATGTGGCTGTTGGCTAAATACAATGAACGGAGTTTGCACAGCTTTTTGTTTTGTTGCTCCTGGAATGTATTAGTTGATTTAAACGTTCAATTTGGCTTTAAGTGAATTTGACCTGGCCTAACATTGCCTTGGGTAACAGTGCCCGCGTCAATGACCACAGGGTGTCTGATATAGCTTGTGAGACACCTAAAAAGTGCCTGTTATTTACAAAAAGGGCTTATTCACACTAGCGCCCACACTAAAATGCTGATTTAAAATGTGGTCTAGTGTCCGTGTGAGGTCCAATGAGGGGGGCTGTAGGATGTGTCCGTGTGAGGTCCAAAGGGGGGGGGCTGGGGGGGCTGTAGGATGTGTCTGTGTGAGGTCCAATGGGGGGGTGGCTGGGGGGCTGTAGGATTGGTGCTTTCAATATATGACATTGTTATCTTTTCAAAGTTACACTCCATTCATGTTGGTGCGACACTGCTGTGTGGTGACATGCTCTGGTGTCTATATGCTGCGGAACAATGCAGCATGTCTGCATTTTTCTGTATTGCAGTGTGAATAGGGCACATAGAACACAACTGTTTTTATGTTCCCTATTGGGGACCTGCGTTTTTTTTTTTCTTTGCAGATCGTGTTAATGGGCCCTAAGAAAACTTTTTAAAAATGACCACAGGTACACTCCTTAGAAACTGCATGAGCTTATAGTGGATGTTTCTAGAACCAGTGCAAATTGTTGGTCCCAATACAGATTTGGCCTCTTAACATTTTTGCAAAAGGAATTGTTGAAGAGTGCCTTGCAAGTGGCAGCCAGTGAGTTGTTTTGTCATATTAGAGGGGAATAATGAATGGGAGGATGGCATTGGACGCCACAAAGACTGTCTGAGACACTTCTATATTTGAGCCCCAATGTGATTCTTAATAGTAGCAATGAGTGGTCTATCTTTGAGCCTTTGGACTGCTGACTTTTTTCTCAAGCTTTCCCCCTTGGCCTTACTTGTGCTATCCCTAACACACAAACAATAGAAGCAGAACTTAACAAAGCCAGCAAGCCAGGTAGCTGGCTGCAGATGCCTAACTTTTAAATCCTTTTGTTATTGAGACTGTGGGGGTTATTCACAGAAGGGTAAAGAGTTTGGAGAAGACAGGAGAACTTTCCAGTTCAGCTATGTTGTCCTAGATTGTTCACTTCTCCTGCCTTCTCCAAACTCTTCACCCTTTTGTGAATAACCCTGCATATCTTTATTGACAAATATTGTAAGCGTATGTCAAGGCAAATAAAAACATATTTAGTTCATCTCTGCAATACATACACACTTCTCTATGTTGTATCCCTATGTTTGACCACACTTCAAGTGCAGAAAAAAACTGATGTGCCGGAAATCTAGTGTGCTCCTACCTTCCTCTTTGACACTACAACATCTACATGATAATACAGGAGTATTTTTGGCTCTGAATTCCAAAGAGCGTGGTGTCAGCCCTGCCTACTTCTGATGGATAACAAAGACCTTTCCTCATCTCCATAAGCGCTCTGTGTGCACAGGCAGAGAGCACAGGAAGTTATCAGCTCACAAAATTTCTGGCAGAATCAACAGATATTTATTGCGTTTATCAAACAGATCTAACAAAAGCCTTCCAATAGTATAGTTAACAGACCAAAAATGAGCAAATAAGTCAAGTTCATTATTAGGGTTTACATGCCCTTTAAAGTAACTCTAAACTCAGTTAATTCTTAAAAATGCATTCACGTTCCCTAACTATTATCAGAAATGTACCTTATTTGTGTATCACTCGGCTGTAGATCCTGAAATCATTTCTGAATTGGTGCTGACACTGTCCTTCCTTCTGGAGGGGGGCTACTTTTATGCCACATGGTCCCTGTGTGTGTTGTAAAGTAGCCACCGCTCCAAGCTCACTTCCATGATGGACTACAATCTCAATACAAATGAGTAAACTAAACATGAGATTGTAGTCCATTACAAGAGCGAGCTTGGAGTTGAAGATACTTTACAACACACACTGACCATAGGAACAAAAGTTAACTCGCGCACCAGAGAGTTAATAGTAATACAAGCCATACATATCTGTCAGTCCTTTTTGGTGAGGTCATGTCACCAGCTCTGAAAATAATGTTCCACCCTTCTGAAGATGTAAGCTTAGAGTCCTGTGTATTTATGAACACTGCTCGCATCTTGTTCTCATTAGTTTTTCCCTTTACTGGTATGTGTAATGTTAAAGCGATGTGCCAAGAACAGGCAGAATATTTTAAGCGCCTTTGTTACACATATAGCATAACTAGAATTCACACCAGTGTTTAGACAGACTTCCTTCCAGAAGGAAAATACCATGGCATGTTTACTTAAAGGAGAACTATGGGGTCAGTGTTTTTCCCCATAGTTCTCCTTAGGGTAACGGGAGGACACAAACTAGCGTCCTCCCGTTACCCTAAGCTCAGTATACCGCCAGCTACAGCTCGCGGTATACTGAGACGCCGCAGCCGGAGCGAATCCCGACTTAGATGACGGGATCCACCCAGCTGCGTGAGTGACAGCGGGCGCTGCCTATCTAGAGGCAGAGCCAGCTGTACCCGCCCCCTCCCCCGTCCGTTCCGCCAGTCAGCGCTGGCAGATCGGAGGGGGGAGAGGGGAATCCAGCCCCTCCCCCTGTCACAGCAGAGAGCCGTGACAGGATCGAGAGGCGAGCAAACCCGGTATGTGTTCGCTCACCTCCCGATCTACTGAGCCGACCTGTGACAGTCTCATTGTCACAGGTCAGCTAGAACTATGAGGTGAGTGAAAAGCACTCACCTCATAGTTCTCCTTTTAATAAAGTCAGTGTATCTGAACTAGAACAACTTTTTTGGTTTTCAGTAGAAGAAACATGATTTGTTAGCATTATAATTGGTTGATTGTGTTCTGTTCATGAGCAAACTGGGTAAATAGTCTTTAAAAGGTATATCCATCCGATTGCTTTATAAGTATGCAGCCCTCAAATGTAGAGAGAAACCCAATGCTTTTCACAGAGGTGAACAAATTAATATGGAATTCAGGAGCCAGTCTGCCCAATCCAGGGGTCAGCAGTAGTATTATATTCAATACATTTGTATTAGGTTTAAGTAACAAACAGGAGAACAAACAACCAGGGTAACGTCAGCACACCAATGAGCATATGACATACAATGTGAAGGAGTGAATATACATAGGTAAGGCAAAGAGCCAAGGGGAGTTCAGTCCATCCATATAGATAAAATGTGCAGAAGGGTCATTATCACCAAGTGGCGACTGTTTAGTTTAATCTGGGGATAACTACAGAATTATGTTCTAAAGTGAGTGGGTCAGGGTTCTAAACTCTTCATCCCTGAGTGTATACTAAGTGAATGCTGGCTGCATATGCATGTCTTGAACAGAAGCAAGAGAAAGGAATATATTACTACGGCTTTGTTGGGATTTCATTTGTTTGGTATTGACTTTAGAACAAGTTTAATTAACATTTTAAAGGCAGCTCCATCAAAAAAGCTTGGTGACGCCATCTGTGCACTTGTGTGCTCAGGTGCTAATAATGGCCTTTACAAGGGTCTTCACTCTCCTTTTTTCTTTCTTTTTTGTTAAAAATATATATTAAATTAAATTTTTTCCATACATGGATAATGCAACAGCAGGGAACCACAATTTGGTACAAACGTAAATGTTCATTATGTGTTCCTATTCACACAACATACTGAAGAAAAACTTTTAAAAACAATTCTTACCTTTTTTAAGATGTTTTGTTAAATCAGGAAAGAGGGCTGATTTCCAGTTTTTTTCTTAGCCCTTTCACAGTGGTCTGTCCCAATGGAAAGTCTTGGGACTGAAATCTGTGGATTGTGTTTTATCTCATAAGCTTTAGCAATGGGCTAGCGAGCTCAGACCCCTCACCTCTCACAGCTCCTCCTAACATTTCAAAGAAATAGAAGCAAGAAGCAAGAAGACATTTTAACACTAAGTCCTACCCATGTAAAAGCAATTTAAACTGCAAAAAGCAGTTTTTTTTTTTTTTGTTTTTTTTTAGCTTATGTAATGTGAATAGGAACAAGTAGCAAATATAAAATAAGTGTTATCCCAATTTGGCTGCCAAAGTGGAACTACACTTTAAAGTGGACCTTTTACCCCCTTTGACTAAAAATCACATCAGCATTCAGCTCTGAATGCTGATATGAAATCATCTTACATCAGGGACATACGGTCAGGGGAGGCAGAGCCTCACCTACAATTATGGAGGAAAAAGCTGTCAGTTTCATGTCTGAAGCTGACAGATTTTTCTCCATTCAGATCGGCATCTAACAGGTTACACATCACGGAAATCCTCCCCGCTGTGTAACCTGTCACGGAGCCTCAGCGGTGAGGAGCAATTGAGGGACAGGGAGGCTCCTCCCTGTCTCCTCCCTTCCTCCTTTACACTAACTAAACAAACATATTTTTATTTACTTACAATTTCTTTTTTCCCCCCTACTTTCTGGTCCACTTTGGCACAAATGATGTAATCGTGCCCAAGCTTTGCATCCTGGGAAGGTTACATCAGCAGAGCATTGCTAGAAAATCTCATCTGTCATCTCATGAGATTTCAGGGAAAGGCAGTTTCCTCCCTGAGATGATGTGCATGGTCACAAATTCTAGTCACATTTGCCAGAGTTCCAGGAAGTAAAAGGAGTTCTAATAACCTGCCCTTAGTTAAAATGGCCACTGTCAGAGGACTGGGGAAGAAACAAGAAATAGGTATGCAAAGAATACAAAGCCGGCAAATATCTAGAAGTATGTGTTTGTAGTAGGGTTGCACAGATACCAAGTACAGTACTCGGTGCAAGTACGAATACATGTACCGATACTTTTGAGCTCCAAGACTAGACTAGAGAAAAATTCAAAAGTTAGGAAGCAGCTGTCATTTGTAAGGAGCACACGGAGCTCCTGGGATTTGTACATTTCTGTTTTAATGTACGATTTTGTTTTTATAAATATAAATAAAGGGATGCACAGATACCAGTTTTGTGAGTACGAGTACTGGTACTTGCCGAGTACTTACAAGTACGAGTACTGATACATTTTTGTTTATGGTCATGTGACAGCTTTTCTAAAACAATACAGACTAATGATTTCAGCACAGTGGTGGAGTGCCAGAGCCAGGTCCCAGCTGCAACCACTGCAACCCTGGTAGTTCTCATGAAAATGCCAAGTATCGGCACTAGTACTCGAAAAGTATCTGTGCATCCCTAGTTTGTAGATTGTCATTACTAAACATTTCTAAAGGGGCCTTTGTTGTTATTTTGAAGATATGGGTAAAGATCCGCTTTAAAGGTGGGCAGAGAGAGAGCCTGTAGCTAATGCAGGGAGATCTCACTGCTGCACTGCTGAGCAGATTTAGTTAAAGTCTGGTGGATTGAGTCACCAGCTGGCTCCTTGTAACTGCAGGAACTTTTTTGGGTGGACTAAACATTTATTTAAAGATGTCATTTACTGACGGAGTACAAACAGAATTAAAAAAAAAACATTCACCATTTTAATACCCGGAGATGGAAAGCAATTTTGCAAATATCAGTTCACATTTCTGCTCTATTTTTTTTCCTGTGCATAGAAAGTTGTCATCACAGGTCCAGGCCAGTGTAAACAAAGCCTGTTTGCTGTCTGCACTGTAACTGCAATCAAGAAATCGGAACAAGGACGGCATCCTGTCTGACTCAACCAGGAGAAATTAGTTATGGCTTCTATGCTGCATTGCACTCACGTAATCACTGGAGATCACAGGCTGATAGAAGCAGAAAGCCCCTGCATGAGTATAGGCAAGCCCTGGTCATCAAAAATTGCAATGTGATTCCAGCTGGTCAGTTATAGACAGCACAGTGCACATTTACAGGGATCATAGAAACTATTTTTGTTTTTTCCTTATTTAGAGATGTTATCTACAATGACACTCAACTCGTGTAGAGGTCAATGGTTTCTCAGCCTGTAAATTAGACAGTTTGGGGGGAATTTATAAAAAATCTGGAGCAGTTGCCTATGGCAACCAATCAGCTTGTCTCTTCAGTTAAGCTTTGAAAATGAAAGGTGGATGCTGATTGGTTGCCGTGCACAGCTGCTCAGATTTTGTCTGCTCCAGTTTTTTGATAAATTCCCCCCCCCCCCCATGTGTTCAAGTACATTTGGTTTTATTCTTCTTAGTTACTTCCTGACATACATTTTCATTTTAATCCTTCTAGAATGATCCAGATGCACATGACAAATTTCTAAAAATAAATCGAGCGTACGAAGTTTTAAAAGATGACGATCTCAGAAAAAAATATGATAAATATGGGGAAAAGGGTTTAGAAGATCAACAGCAAGGAGGCCGCTATGAAAGCTGGAACTTTTACCGATATGACTTTGGTATGTATATGCTTTCTATTTTCTCTTAAAATTGCAATCTAGCTTTGTTGTCCTGTGTCCTGTGTATTCTCACTGTGTGAGCTTTGTGAATTTCTTCCAGATCTGTGCAGTAATCCAGTGTGAAACTTTGCCCCTGTAATAAAGACCAGTCACTGCTGCTCTCTCTTTGTGCAGGGTGGCGGTTCTTGCATCCGCCCCTTCCTGTAATTTCCTGCGCAGGCTACACTGATATCACCATTTTCATTTTCCTTTTTTTTTTTTTTTTTTAATAACTGGTTTCTATATTCGAAAATAGACGTAATAAAGGTTTTTGTGGCAGAAGTTCAGCTTTACCAGAGACGAGCAACAAGATTTCACTGTCTGAAAAATTTTATTAGATGAAATCATGCACAAGCCATGTGTCCCATCATGTGGCATAAATCTAAGCATGGTTTCTTAAAGGAGAACTATGGGGGTCAGTGCTTTTCCCCATAGTTCTCCTTAGGGTAACGGGAGGACACAAACTAGCGTCCTCCTGTCACCCTAAGCTCAGTATACCGCGAGCTGTATACTGAGGCGCCGGAGCGGATCCCGACATCGATGTCGAGATCCGCCCAGCTGCGTGACTGACAGCTGGCTCTGCCTATCTAGAGGCAGAGCCAGCTGTACCCGCCCCC